AGGTTAGATTCCAGGAGGGTCATTATCTCAGCTCTGATGTCTGGGTGTCAGAGCTCCTATGCCTGTTTTATTGGTTAAGTACATGGCTTTATTGCTGTTTATAGAAGTATGCCTGCATTCTGAGCAGCAAGGGAGCACATTAGCAGGGAAGCACTGAGCTTGCACCAGCTGCTGTGGGAGAGTATCCAGACCCCAACCCAGCCTCAGTGAGAAGAATGGTAAGTATGTAAAGGAGGCTGCCTCAAATCTCAGATCCCTGGCTGATGTGTAAAAGCACCTCAAAACACATTTTCTTCTTGATAAAAACATTCTTAACAGGGAAGAGGGAGTCAAATGAAGAGGGGGCAAAGCCATCCCTTTTCTATACTACATTGGGGATGTTTCCTCTATCTCACTTCCAGGTTTGTGAATATTTCTGCACACAGCCACTTCCTACAGTAAGTACCACTACTCATTAGTGATACCCTTTCTAGTACTCCCAGGGGAACCCTAAGGGACTGGCCATTGCAGAAGGGTCTTAGGCAGAGTCCAGCAGCATCTCCAGGTGTCTGGGTGATGGGGAACCCCTTCCCAGCATCCCAAACCACGGGCCCTAAACCTCATTATCCTAAGTCCTCAGCTCTTTTTAGAGCAAATAAAGGGGTGATGCCTATGCCAGTCCCTTATGTCCTCTCAGAGCAGCACTCTTCCCAGGGGTTCAATTTCCCCACCTTGAAAAGTTATGGCTTGGCACTGACTGCCTTTGTGGTGCACTTTGGGAGCTGCTGAGGAAGGCATTGTTATTATTTTTTCTCTCTGACTAATTAAAGCAAAACAAAGTATTTGGGCTCAAGATGCTCTGCCAAACACTCTGTCCTAGTTCTTCCAAAGGAATAGCATCCCTAGGGTAGTCACTGTACATTAATAACTTCTCAAAAAGAAGGCCAGTATCCCACCTGATTATCATTGTAGAGTCTGTGTGTTGTGGGAAGTCTGAAGGGTGATGAACCACAGTGTCTGCCCGTGCTGGTGGGCTGGGCAGAGGAAGGCTGTGACATTCCACTGCTCCCACAGCCAGCTCTGCTCCCAGCCCTGTCACCCCATGGGCAGGTGGAAGCCCTGGGCCATGGGACTGTAGCTCACCTGGGGTGGCTGTGCTGATGTTGCCCTGGCAGCCGCAGAGCAGCTGGGCTGTCACAGCCTGGCTTCTGGGAGGATGGCACCATCTGCTGCAGAACACCTGGGTGCCAGGACAGAGTCTGGCCCACAGCAAAGGGCACTGGAAGAGAATCAGCTGCCTTTGGGGAGATGTATGTTAGCAGGACACCTGTGTCCTCCCAGTAGCAGGAGACATCCAGCTGTCACTCATGGAAGTCCACAGACACCTGGACTTCACCTGAAATAAGCTTAAAATCTCTCCCAGGTGCATTCAGCAAAGACAACGAGAGGCAAGTAGATTAAAAAGTTCTCAAACCCTAACCATGAGATACCGAAGAGGCTGTGTGTCTCAGTTTGAAAGATAGGTATCTACCAAGGAAGGCAGGAACCTCCATTGGAATGGAAAAAAATATGACCCCCTTCCCTCCAAATTATTATAACCTTGAAATGAAGGGGCTTTCAGGCAAAGACACGGAGTAGCATGTCCGTGTGTCTCAGTGCCGCCGCAGCC